TTCCAGACAGAACACAAGTTAATCACTTGTTCAAGTTTCTGTGATGCTGCAGATTCTCCTCTTCTGTCCCACTGAAAATGCAAGTTCAAACTAATCATCCCCACAAAGGATTAATTTCAATAAGTAACATTTTTAGTTCTTTGTGGTTGAAATGTAACTGTAAGTTTTTCTTGTTTTCTGGCTTTTTGGAGAATATCTGTGTTCCTCCTTCACCTCCAGAGAAGGAGGAATGCAGTAAGGGAGAAAGGTAATGTAGTAAGCCTTGAGACCTCCAGAATCACCTAATACTGAATGGCTGCTGGGTCTGTTTGCTGATCAAAATGCTGTGGGAAAGTAGGAAAAGGAACAGATGAAACTGTTGGGAATTACCACCAGCTCTCATAGCAGCCTTTGAACAGAGTTTCACAGCACTTTCTAGTGGTGTGTTCTGTCACTTGAATTTTATATGGCAAATTCATTATTATCCCATATCAAAACAAATTTATAGCAGCTTGGAGGATGGAAATTCCTCCTCATCTACAGCTAGATTAAACTGTCAGTCAGTGCCTGACCACGCTTAAGGTAAACCTAAAACCAAAGCAATTAGTTGAGCTGACACTTGAAGACGCTAGATAGCTAACATTGATTTATTTTCTCCGGATGGGAGATTGTAAGAGACAGATGAAGTCGTGGATATACTCTTTGCTCAAGTTGAAACACACATCCTAAAGAGAAGCTGAGATCTTGATCCAACTGAAAGGAAAAGTTGATGATAATTCCCTCTAATCTTCCTAACATCACGCCTCCAGCTTTCACTGTGGATAGAAAGATATGAATCTCAACTCTGACGGTGCCAGATATACCCCCTAAGCATCCACAAGGAGCCTCAGCAAGTGTCCCTGGCTTCAACGTAAACATTTACAATTTGGATTTTCACTTGAGGGTAAATTCCATCATAATAACTGCAGGCCTACTTTGTGCTGTTTTATGCATTCAAAACAAAAAAGAAAAAAAGGAAAGGAAGAATTGAGCATTTATCAATATGCCAGTGCGGTGTCCCAGAGCCATTAGCTTGTGCACCTCCAGGGCCGCATTCTTACTCCCATCCTGGAAGACAGTAGCTCTGTAAACCTGAACTTCTGTCGATGAAACATTCTTCTATGAAAAGACCACAGAAGGAATTTTAACTATGTTAAATAGTGTTTAGTCATCTGTCTTGCATAATCTGCATCATATCGATTCCTTGAGAAGTATCAAGAACGATTGAAGAGCAGAGATACTGTTAATAGCCCGAACGACCCCATAAGTGCCACAAGTCGAGCTCTGCTGAACCCAAGAGGGCCATCAGGGAGATGGCCCAACAAAGCCTAGATTTACAGAAACTGAAGTAAAATTGGTATCAGGAAGATACTCAAGATCCTCTGTGACAAATGTAATTGCTCTTCTTCGTATGAGTAATCTCTTGCTAAAAAATATATCACCTAAAGGGCTCACGCTGGCAGCGAGTGTCATTTTTCACATCAGTATAGAAAGTCAATTTCTTTCTGGTCTCATTAGAGAACATGAATTTTGTGACTTCTCTGTTTCATCATGGTGTTGCCTCAGTGTTTTACTTGACACGTCCTTGTACTATGGGAACGTGTTTCAGCTTGTGTTTGCTTCTTCATGGGGGCGGATTGCATTATTCTTCCTTTTCTCATTTTCCTGTCATTTTTTGAATAATGGATTCATTGCATTAAAAACCTTACTTCATTTCACTTTTCATTCATTTCTTCCCAAGGCAAGTGTGAGAGAGTGGAACAGGTTACCCAGAGAGGCTGTGTAATCATCCATCCATGGAGATGTTCAGTCCTTGGCTCAGCAAGTCACAGTTGGCCTCATCTAGTGTTGGCAAGGATCCTGCATCACCTGGGAGGTTGGACAAAATGACCTTCGAGGTCCCTTCCAGCCAGTCCTTCTGTGATTTTGTGCATCGTTCTGGCTACAGAAGAGCACCTTTGAAATGTGTTAATCCAAAGTTTGGGTTTCATCTTTAAAGCAGTGATGCATAATGATAAAAGTTGTTTTAAGCTGGAATAGCTGTCGATTGGGTACCTGGTTGATTTTTCCACTGTATGCATGACACAATCTGTAGTTCAGGTCTCCTGACAGCTCGCAGTTCGATTGACTTGTGCACATTGTTAGACTGCATCCTGAATTTGCACTGAGCAGGGCTGTTCCTTCCATGACAGCCTGTACTCACTGAGCTCAGAGCAGAGATTCTTTCTCTCTGTAGGAGAATTCTGGTGGGCTGCCATGTAGTATGTAAAAAGTAATTTACCAACTCAAATGCAAGGGTCAGAAAGTCTGGGGTTGCATATAAAGTTAAGAAATGATGTGACCATTACTGCAGTTAATGCATGGAGGCTTCAAAAGGGAGACAAAACAGTGTTCTGGATCAGACTGTGGATTTTTTTCATTGCTGCTGCTGAGCCTGTTAAGATATTCGGCGATTGAGTTGTCCTAATGAAGAGGAGTATTTTGGCATCGTCACAATCTATCAAGCGAAGCCATTATGCCAATAGGCATTTCTGCCTAAAAATGTTTTTTCTTAGCAGAGCAGGAACTTCTGTACAGTCCATGGCCACATTTCACCCTGGCCAGCATATGTTCACCACTGCTCTGGGCTTCAGCAGCGAAGGACCTCCCAGGAGAGCCGGCGGGTACCCCCGGCTCTGGCGGTGGCCAAGATGCTGCTCCTCACCCCTGATGCTGCAGGCTTTTCTCTTCTTCTGCCCAGATTTACCTTGCCACGTGCACGCAGCAGTTCCCTCAGGAGAAGGGGAATGTGGCAGAATTAAGGGCCTGTCTGTTTGGTACTTGGCGTAGGGGTTACGATAACCTTCGTTGGCCAGGGTGGGATTGTGTGGGCAGAGCGTGAATGCAGTGTATGTTGGCAGAAAGAGATCAGTGGTGGATGTAGCTACCAAGCCTCCTCAAAGTGATATAAATTAAGGTGGTGGAAAGCACTCTGTTGTCGTCAGAGTTTCATCATGACGTAAGTCCTTTGGCAAGGGTGATCTCGCGCTGCTCGCTGAAATAAGTGTGCAGCGGAATTTTACAGTGTAGCCTAAAAAGATCCAGTTTCTCTTCCTGGCTAAACCAATCTCTGCTGGCTGGAGGTAACAACTTGTCTTCCCCAGCTCCCCCATGGGGCTGACCATGCAGAAAACCCCTGTCCCCTGTGTGCCCCCTGCCCCTTGGTCGCTGTGCTGAGCGGTGCTGCTGCGGCCAGGGCAGCAGCACTGCTGGGGTGGCCACACGTGGCACCTACTTGGGGTCCAGCCTGCCTGGCACACTGCAGGCGACACCCAGGCCGAGCTCACCCCCTCTGCCCTCGCATCTGGGATGGTGGCCTCGTCGCCTGGGTGCCCGTTACCGCCCTTGGCAGAGGCTGCTGGGCTGGCAGGGCTCTCTGCAGGGATTTTTGTCTTCCTGGTAGATATATTTTGATTTTTGCCTTTCAGCATATGTACCATCTACGTCTTTAGCATCTGACCTCTACTGCGAGGCTCTTTAAGGCTGTCCTTGTTGTTTCCTTGTGGTTGTTCCCGGTGAAAGAAAAGTCTAATTTTGTTTATGGGCTTTGAGCACAGGCTTGCCTAAAGCTACGGAGAGTCCCTCTGCTATCAGACGCTGTTGGGGGCCCTAACAGGGGCTAATACTGTTGTCACTAAGGTAGATGTTTTGATGGATGGAAAAAAATTATAAAACCCAAGAAATTGCTGTTATCTTACTGGTATAACTGAGGAGTAGCACTGGGAAGGAAAGCTTGTCGCTCGAGCAGAGATGCGTGAGTGGATCCACAGGCTGCTGCTGAGGCGGTGGTTGTGGAAGCACGTCCTCGGTCTGGAGATATATAAAACTACAGACAGTCCCTTCTCATCTGGAGGTTATATGCAGTTAATATTAACTGCAGATGCAAAGTACCTCTCTTGACATTTACAAAACGTTAGTAGGCTTTGTTCTTGTGCAGGTGGTCCCTTGCTTCTCCTCGGAAGCGTTAGGGACTGCTTAAGCGAGTGACGGTGAAAAACCACAAAGACAACCGTTCTTTCAGTTGACTCCCCCTCTGACTCATGGGCTCCCAACCCCTTGCCACAGGCTCCCTTTCAGTCGGGCTCCTCAGCTGGGGTCTCTTGACTGTAGGTTGTGTCATGGTGTGGATGTCTATGCTTATTTAACAAACAATTAGGAATTGGGTGACTAGGCTGTTCGTTATGTAGCAGCAGACCCAGAGTGAGCCTTCCTCTGCTAACAGTTTGCGTTTCTTCCTGACCCGAGCCCTAGGGAAAATAGCAGCAAGAGGTAAAACCCTCTGGAGTCATTAAAAATCCAGTGAATTATCCACTTTGCTTTTAAAATACATTCTAATGCCCACTTGAGTTTGCGTTCTTTCGTTATTGCCCAAATAAAAATATTACTCTGAAGTTGCTTGAAAGAATTTCCTTCCCCTCTGCAGTGACTTCTAAACAGGTTTGTTAATTGGGTTGTGTCCCACTGTGAGAAGTATCTGTATGCTAGGAGGGGATGTTAGGGATGCTGGGGTGTGCATCTGGCTGAGTTATCCAGCCTTAGGTGTTACATATCCTCTCTCACAGATCTTTCCACAGTTTTGTATTTGACTTTAGTTGCTCTTGCCATTATTGCAGGGGACATTCTGTGCCTGGCCTTGTGTCTTCTTCTTCCCCGTCCTCATTCTTGTCATTAATCTCCTTATTTAGTTTTTCATAATGCAAATATTTACACTTCATTTAACAACATGACCAGTGATTTCCTCCGCAAAAAAGCCCTTGTAGGGCAGCAGATCACCGTGGATAGTCTAATACCAGAGACTGCAAACTCTTAAAGTCAGTCAAGCTTTAAAATAGTGGCTAAACATCTCACCGCGATACCCAACCAATCTGTGAACCATTGAGGCTACAGTAATAAAGTGAAATATTTGCCATCTGATTATTTACGCTTGCTTTGTTTAATTATAGTTTGAAAATGAGATCATCACGAAACTGGATCATGAAGTGGAAGGAGGCAGAGGAGATGAACAGTACAAAGTGTTATTTGACAAAATGTAAGTGTTGATCAGCGGCGAGATTTATGTCACGGTGAAGTCAGGAGAGAGAGCAATTAGACTACAATGAACTTTGTAGCCCAGAAATAATTAAAATCTGTTAATGATGCGCAATATTTAGAATTGCACCTGAGTCCAGGTTTTTTCTGTGTGCGATTAACAAGGTGAACGTAATTGGTTTTTCAGTCTCTTGGAGCACTGCAGAAAACACAAATACCTTGCTAAGAGTGGGGAAACTTTTGTGAAACTGGTGGTGCGCTTAATGGAGAGGTTGCTGGACTACAGGACCATAATGCACGACGAGAACAAGGAGAACCGCATGAGCTGTACTGTCAACGTGCTGGTAAGCAGGGATTCATGCCCGAAATGACTGCTGCGTTCTTCAGCTTGCACCGTCCACACCCCACTTGGTGTAAAGCAGGGCACGTGTTGGGATTCTCGTGACAGTTTTAAGTACTCTTCTTTTTTTTTTATCCCTTTTTTAGTGAGGTTGAATCTATAAAAACATGAGTTACTCCTTCTTTAATTGATTCTAAGGCGATGCTTAAGAAGGAGTGTTTCAGGGCCTGATCTTTGAGGTCTGTTCATTGACATTTACAGTTGGTGTTTGAACAACTTTATACAGAAAAACACTCTGACCTAGAGAACGTTTGAGTAACAGGCAGTTTACTGCCAAATCTGTCACACATTTTCCGTCTCATTTGTATTCTGCTTAGTGCTCAGCATCCGTATTCAGATTTTTTGAAGAAATTTGAGTGTTACTATTTCATTCACAGCAGAAAAAGCTCAGGATTTGTTCTTGCTGATGTGAAATTTCTTCCTAGTTCTAGGAAATCTACCGTGTAGTACAAACCTGTGTCCGTTTGGGCTAGAGGTGGAAGCAGAAGTTGTCCCCATAGCACACGCATCATGCGTTTCGGCCAGAGCATTAGAGTATGAGATTTTACTAGCACAAAATCAGTGCATATGGAAAAATGAGGTCAAAATACATTTTAGAGATGCCCAACCATACGACTAGCTAGATTTCATTTTTCCAGCAGGACTCCTTATTCAACTGTTAGCCACTAAGGATTCACAGCTTTCATCCCTGTGTGATTAACAAAGCTTTTATTTCATTTAAATATGCAGGACACAGACAGTGTTTATCGTTTGTGTGATGTGGCTGATATCATTCAGGCTGGTCTGGAAAGATCTCAGTGAATAGTTTGTAGCTTTGGTTAGCAGTTGCAAGTGATGCAGGCGTCCTCGGCTCCGGCAGGGCAGCCTTTCTGCCTAAGCTATGAACGAAACGCGGCCCAGTGCAACAGGAGAGAATATAGAGACATCAAATCAGAAATCGGAGTTTGATTCTTTTTGTTTCTTTGTTTTTCCTTTCTGTGCACAGCAGAAAGCATCCAGATGTTTAGGAAACGGGAAAAGAGGAGGAACTGGGTGCATTGCCACCGGCCGCTGATCGAGCCAGCACTGTTGGGTTGCCCTCAGGAAAGTCATAGCATCCTCCTGAGCAGAATTTGAGTGAGAAAAGCCTGCCAGTTCACACCAGGCCAGTTAGGAAGTAAAATCACGTACACCATACGCTCTAAAACATGACAACAATTTATAAAACTGGGAAAACTTTCTTAGGAAGGTGAATTTATTTTTCCTTCCCTTCATCGTAACGCTCTGAGTCTCCTCCTAGTAATTCTTGCCATACCAACGGCACACTTGGGGGTTGGTTCTGTTTTCTCTAAGTGTCTCTAACAGCATCTCCTGGTGCTGATTTTTGTCATCTGAATTTTTCAAGTATTTGCAGATGATAAATTCTGTGGGTGATTTAGTGCTGTCAAGTTAAATCACCGTGAGATATCCACACACAGCCCTGCCGCTGAAGTCTGCGGGAAACGCAGGAAAGCATCGCAGGGCAAAACTTCCCTTCGTTTTCCGTAGGTGTGATTTAACACTTGAGCTTGATTTTGAACTCCCGTTTGCCCTCCAGGGCCAATGCAGTCTTTTCATCATTCTCCAGGCACCTGAAGTGAAATCTATGCCTTTGCAAAAATCCAACCTAGGGCTGTTACTCAGCAGAATTCCACCTGAGGTCTCAAAAGAGTTCTTAATTGGGACTTTAATGATGCAGAGGCTTTCACAGGATTAAGTTTGTCTGTATTGACTATAGTTTAAGTCAGATGGTTTTGATATGCATTTAAGCTAGTGCTGATGTTGAAAAAAATAAAAACCTTCTGTGTTCCCTCAGCTGCTTGTTCCTACCCCTGACAATCCTGGCAAGAGCAAGTGTGCCAGCAAGGTAGCAGAGCAGATCTGAGGATGCATCATGCGGAAAGCTTACAATCTTCCCCAGGCACTGGAAGGGACTCTAAGGTCTCCCCGGAGCCTTCTCTTCCCCAGACGGAACACCCCCAACTCTCCTAGCCTTGTGCTGTTGGGGGCCCCAGAGCTGGATGGAGAACTACAGGCAGGGGGTCTCCCCAGAGCAGAGCACAGGGGCAGAATCCCCTCCCCCGCCCTCCTGGCCCCCCTTCTCGTG